CATTCATCCACGCAAGAGTTTTTGGGCATTAGAAGGTGTTATGAAACTAGGGTTTGAGTTTGAGCTCCACTTAGCTAGGAAAAGGATTAAATTTATCAACTTTATCAACCTAGACGTTTATTGGGGCTATATCTAAGCACTTGTTGATTGGTCTTTATGGATTAAGATCTTGAAGTAAAAATGACTTAATAGCTCTTTACGCGGGGCACAATCTGGGCTACCCCCAACGTATCCAAATTTTGGCCTGTTTTCTGGATAAGACTTTATTCCCTACAAAGATTAAGATATATGTCGCACGTAAGTCAACAAAAGGTTTTTGTTGACTTTTTGACCATTTTGACTTTTTGTCAACAGTGAGGGATCAAGGACATAGAAGGGCATAATGGTATTTTGCCCAAATCAGGATTTATCTTACTAGTTGGCCTTGCTAAGTTGGGGTATTTACCATAATTACTAATTAGGGTTCTATTAGATTTGTTTAGTGTGAGGAGCTTTTGTAGCAACATCTCTTGTGTGAGGTTTACTTGACTATTAATTAAAATGAGTTTTCTCACTAAATTGTAGGACACTAGGTGTCGTATATGCATGTTGTCTTTATGACTCTTTTTGTACGCATGTGTACCTGTATGTTATATGTACATTAGGTGAAATAGACTCGAAGGTGAAACATACCCATTCGGTTGAAAAATACCAATTGATTTGAAATAGACTTGAGGGTGAAATAGAGTCAGGGGTGAAATAGACCCACCCGGTTGAAAAATACTGATTGAGTTGAAATAGACTTGGGGGTGAAATAGATCCGTTACAGCTTCAAGAGGATATCTTTGTGCTTACGGTCTATGCTTATGTTTCAAGTACTTCCCGTTCCAAAGGGAAAAGCTCGACGTGATTTCATCACGTCCACCACTCTTCGGCATTTTATGATATGATTTGCATTGTAATAAATTTTATATACATTATCACAATTTAATGGGTTTTATGATGAATGATTGGTAGTTTTTATTCACTTATAAACAAAAAAATTTACTTAGTGTGGGACGTTATAACCACAACATATATACAATGCATACACATATTGGTATTCAACTTATAATTGGTCTACACCTTGGCCTTCAACATTTAACTGGTTCGCCATATATGGCCTTCAACATGTAGCTAGTCTGCTTCCCTTTTGGCCTTTAGCATAAAGCTAGTCATCCAAGGTTTATTGGCCTATAGCATAAGGTTGTTCCGCCCTCAACTAAATACTTGTAAAAAATACATGTAGCAATAATCCACATAACATGCAACTACCTATCTTAGTATAATTTCTCAATTGCATACTACTGGGAAACTATATCCAAACATACAAAGGATACATACTTAATTATACAATATAGTGAGAACAACTCACTTAGATAGTTTCTTAGGGGATAAATAGTTAACACGAGAATTTTACTATCGTGCATCACTCCAATGGGGATTAACCTATAATACTATAGCTTATTAGTTCCTATGGGAATCTAGTAATGAAAGGCTAGATACTTCACTAATCCCAACGAATACTGAGAGTTCTATCAAATAAGGATCAACCATGCAGTACAGATGGATACATGACCATTTGGGCATAAAGCCTTTCTGAAACCTAACAACCAAGCAAAGATGAACATTCTAGATACCAATCCTTGAAGTATATCAATCAGCATTATGAGTAGAACTCTTGATAAATCTTATTTACACTTTCAAAATAACGATTATGAACACAAAAATAAGTTACTCGTAAAATCCTAGTAAATGTAGCTTAACTTATAGGGAGTTTCTACCAAAATCTCTATTTATTATACGTAAAATCGTAGATCTTTGTAAATTATATATCTCTCTTTCACAAAATCTCTATTTTTGACGTTCTTTATATCATGTGTAGGTATTTCTGAGTACTACAACTTTCATTTAAACTCTTTCGGGTAATTCTTGTCTAATCTAAAATTTAACAATCTATGAAGATTCTACCGCTAACGACCGTGTAAAATTTCATAACTTCTTTAAACATATTACATTTCGACGGTCTTTATATCGACATAATCATACTGATGAGATATTCAACTCTTATTTAGATTGTTTTTCCTAACAATCGACCAATCTTGATTTCGCTTTCTGTGCCGCATAATTTTTTGTTGAAACTTGGAAAAATCATAACCTCCTAATATGAAGTCAGATTTGGACGTTCTCTATATGCACACTCTCGGTTTAATGAATACTACAACTTGTTTTAGCTAACTTATGCTAAAAAAATAAATTCGTCAACTGTTTGTGTTTTTTGATACATAGAACTGTGCTAGTTAATCGTAAAACTTCGAAGAAGCATAACTTCGTCATACGAAGCTAGATTTGCGTGTTCTATATATCGATGGAAATCGTATCGATGTTCCCAACATGATTATGAAGATTATGTTTGAATCACAAGTAATATATTTTTATTACATATTTTATAATAATTATAGTCTACTACTATAGTAAAAATGGTGTTTTACAACTCTCCCCGACTTACAAGGATCTCGTCCCCAAAATCTAACTAAATAATTTTGGGTAGTTTCTCCTTATCTCTTCTTCTCATTCCTAAGTCCATTCTAATCCTGTTCGGTGTTGCTACTATACCTTCACTAGACTGATTACCTTTTTGCATAAGGTTTTTGTCTTTTTATCTAGTATTGCTACTGGTATTTCTATGCAATTCAAACGTTCATATACAGGAAAACCCTCTAAAGGTATAATTTCATATTCATTCGTAATGCACTTCCTCAACAGGGAGACATGAAAGGTAATGTTGATCTGATTGAGCTAATCTGGCATACCCAGACGGTTGGAAACCTTGCTCACTCCAGCAATAACCTGAAGGTCTGATATACCTAGGGCCTAACTTGAACTTTTTTTGGAACCGTATGATACCTTTCAAGATCTCCGACAAGGAATTAATGATCTGACCTTTGTCGATTTTCATAACTCGTATGCTGACTTTGGGCAGTTTACAATATTCCTCTTACTTGTTGGATAAGTTATGTAGTCTTGATTACAACGTTTTGTACTTCCCATGAGTCGTTGGCCAACTTCTCCCCAGCATATGGGTGTCCGATACTTTATCCCATAAAGCATCTTGGAGGAAGGTTTACCAATAATAGAATGGAAGTTGTTGTTGTATGAGAATTTTTCCAACGGTGGGTAAGTGTCCTGGTTTCCATTGAATACTAACATGCATGCTCGTAGTATGTATCCACTCTGCCCATCGATCTGAGGATGATAAGTTGTGCTGATATGCAACTGGGTACCTAGCTCATCATGGAACTTCCTCCATAATCGAGAATTAAAACGAACATCTCTATCAGAGATTACCGATACTAGTACTCCTTGTGGAAAGACTACCTCCTTGACGTATACTTTTGCAAGTTTCTCCGCCTAGGAACTTTCTTGAATAGGCACAAAGTGGGAACTCTTGGTTAATCAATCAACTATCACCCAGATAGTGTTTACACCATGAAGGGTCTTTGGTAACTTGGTGATGAAGTCCATTATTATTTGCTACCATTTCTAGATTGGGATATCAGTATGTTGCAATTTTCGAAGGGGCATCTAGTGTTCAGCCTTTAACTTATGATAAGTAAATCACCTCTCTACATATCATGCTACATCTGTTTTCATACAGGGACACCAGTAACTGTGTATGATTTCCATGTACATATTTGTAGCTCTAGGATGAATCAAGAACTTGGACTTGTGTGCCTCTACCATAAAAAAAAAATTTGGGTTCCTCTAGCACACGGGACCCATACTCTATCATGAAGGGTTAACAACCCCTTATTTTCCCTATAATTCTTGCGCTTTTTTGATTCTATTCCTTGATGCTTCACTCTGTGCTTGGTTGATCATTTCTAGCGCTAGCGTGATTACCGTCATCCTTAAGCATACGCCTTTCATTGGCATATTAGTCATCTTCCGACTTAATGCATCAACTACTACATTGATACTACCTGGGTGGTAATAGAGTTTGTAATTTAGTCCATCACTACATCTAAACATCTACCCTGAATCATGTTTAGGTTGCGCTGATCCGTTAGATATCTTAGGATTTTGTAGTCTGCGCAAATGGTGCACCACACTCTATACAAGTAATGCCTCCAAATCTTGAGAGCAAATACCACTGCTCCGAGCTCTAGATTGTGTGTTGTTTAATTAACCTCGTGGGGCTACAACTATTTTGAGTCATATGCGATTACTTGATCTCGTTGCATGAGAACGGTCTGAAACCCATGTTTGACGTATCAAAAAAACTACCATGTCATCAACGCCTTCTGGAAGGGCTAATACTGGAGCTTCACATAACCTTTTCCTCAAGGTTTCAAACTCCAATTTCTTCTTGGGACCCCAAACGAAAAGTAACTCCCTTCTTCATTAAATGGGTCATTGGTACCACAATATTGGATAAATCTTCTATAGTATCCTACAAATTCTAAATAACACAAGTTTTCGTTTTCAGCTTACCATAAAAGTATGTTTTTAATGCTTATTTTTATGTTTTATATGTTGGTTACGTTCTTTGTACATAGTTGTTCGTCGGAAAATATCCGGATTTCAAATCCAATATCATTACCTCATTGGTTTTACCCTCCAAAGTATGCTTCGTGGTGTTAAAAACGACATAAAATAACATAAGTTTCCGTTTTCAGCTTACCATAAAAGTATGTTTTTAATGCTTATTTTTATGTTTTATATGTTGGTTACGTTCTTCGTACATAGTTGTTCGTTGGAAAATATCCGGATTTCAAATCCGATATCATTACCTCATGGTTTTACCCTCCAAATAAACATAACATAAAACTGAAAGGAAATTAGAACTACAAAATGGCACGGAAAATATCAGGTTCTCCACCACCCACAAAAATTCCTTGGTGAATTTATCATTAAGCTCCTTTCCCAAAAAACCTTGATTGAGGATATATAGCAAAATGGCACCGTCTTGAGCCGATATGTCATTGAACCATTGATTCAAGATAAGGAGCTCTAAATATTACAACTAAAGAAGCGTTCGTGCAATATGGGAAGACTCTGGACCGAAATGTATTTTCACCATATCCGTGTTTATACATGGTTGAAAATTTGATCCTTGATTTAGGACACCGACCCATGTAAAGTCCGGTCACAAGGCAAAACTCCTCTGGCCAAAATGATAGTGTACGTCTAGAAAACCTAAAATATCGGCGTTCAGCAGTAGGACGCAACATATGCAGTAACAACCCATGAATAAGAAGTCCGTCTCCGGACTGAGCTGGTAGGTCCAACAAGTAACCGAAGCTAGTTGTTGAAAAAAGATCGTGCACGGGTCCGTTCAAGTGACTTAAAACTTCATGCAATTTATGGCATGAAGGTTTGACAGATAAGTGACCCATCATCGATTTGTTTGGAAGCTACAAAATTAAATAAACATTAAGGTTAAATAAAGTTTTATAAAAATAAAAAAACTGATAAACAATTAGAGAAAGCATACAATAATATAAGACTTAATCATTTCATATATTCAGTTTACTTTGTATAAAATACCAAGTGAAATTAATCGACTACATTTTTTTGTATTTTCTATATTACTAGTATACCAAATTTAACATTGTACTTTCAAAATGGTGTGACAGTAACATATTTTATAACAAACCCGAAAGTACCAAAACATAATGTTATTTTATCAATACAGTATACTTCAAAGTATCTAAAAATTATAAATATAAAAATATTTTCAAATCAATAGCACATTGCTATTGTATGCTATAATTGAGACATAGGAAAATAACATCATTTTAAACAACATGCAAAAATTGAATCATAACATACATACAAAAAGATACAATCCTTCAAAATACGTTTAAAAATAACTTTCTTTTGAAGAATAATGATATATATATATATATATATATATATATATATATATATATATATATATATATATATATATATATATATATATATATATATAACAAAGGTTTTAGGAAACCTATGATTTTTTTTCCCAACAAAAAATCATAAAATACATAAAAGGGGATACAAATGTTTATTAGTTATAAATTATATTAAAAAAAACGAAACTGTAGGTTTTGGTAAACCTACGGTGTACAAGTGTTTACTACACAAACTGTGCAGTAAATGCTTGTACACCGTAGGTTTCCAAAAAACCTACGGTTTTGTTTTTTTTTTTTTTTTATAAAAAAATTATACGACTACAAAATTAAGAAGGTTCCGATGCTATTGAATCGATTTAAAAAAAACGGGAAAAAAAAAACTTCCATACGGTTCATACGAAACCGTAGGTGTACAAGTCGACATTGCACAATCTGTGAATTGGGCACTTGTACAGCAACCTAATGTTTTATTTTTATTTTTTTTCGATTTTTTTCAAAAAAAATTTAACCACATATATAAAACCTACTCTTATTCACAAAGACGGTAAAATTTTGATGAAAAAGTAAACAAACCTGGTTGTTCTTCGAGTGCTCCATTGAGAGAAAAAAGTAGTCAAACCAAAGAAAACAATAAGCAAAATGACATAGTCTGGAAAAAAAATTTCATTATATACTTTGAGCTAATGGGTCACGAAAAAGTAAACGGTGCCGTGAAACAGTAGCTCATTTGCACAAAAGAGTAGTTTTCGGCCTAAAACAGTAGTCAACGGCATTGACCGTAGTCAACCATAAGTTGACTACGGTTTTGTGGGCTATTTTTAGCTAAGTGTTATTTTTTGGCTATTTTTTGATAGGCAATTTAGAAAAATGCTAGATTTGTATTTTTCCCTAGTAATTATCCCTATTTTTTTTTCTTCTAAATTGATTTTGTTTAATTAAAAGGTGTAAAAAGTAAAAACAATAATGCAAAATCCTCGTTGTATCAATTTTTATATGTGATCCATTAACAAATGTATAATATTACTATGCACCCGCATTTAAATAATAATCTTAGAGTTACAAATATGATATATGGTTCTATAAATTTAAATTAGTTCTATATTAATCATTTAAGATTTAAGATGTGGTAATCCCAAAGAGCTTGGTACTCTCCAAGGAAGCACAAAAGATTTTAGTGGACATGTGTGCCCCTTTGGATGAATGACAGTTTCTAAGGAAAATTAGCTAAATCATCACTTTTTTTTCTCTTGCTTCCAATAAATAATTTAGAACAAATGATTTTTTTTTTTTTTTTGAATCTTCCGCCTTTATTCTTTTTTCTTTTTAAATGAAACTTGAGAACAATGTGTTAGAGTCCTCAGGGTCCTAGGAACACTCTGTGTTCAAGTGTATGGATGATATAAGATAGAGAGGTGGGGGTCTGAAGTCTGATGCCTAATGTTTGAGGGTAGTAAGTCGACATTACCTAAACTTAGATACATTTTTTTATTAGGAACCGACAAGGTAAACCTAGACCTATCAAAAAGCAAGGAAAGGAGAAAACAGGGAAAATACAAGAAAAATTACGAACAATGAATGGCATGGGCAAAATAACAATCAAACTCGTCAAAGTTCATAAAACATATACCCCACTTATTATTTTTTAATATTTTCATCACGTTTATGTTCGGAGTACAATATTTATTTATTAAAAAAGTAATTCTGAATGCTTCAAAATATTGTCTTGTCTCAATAAATAAAGAGTTCAGACTTCAGACAATGCCTCAAAATATATGTGTAATGAATTATTATTCTTTTGTGTTAAATATTGTACAAAATACATAAATTACTTACAATATTATAAAAACGTACAATAATACATAAATGGTTTTAGCGAGTCAGAGTGATAAGCGACTGATTGAGGTAAAAAGGAATCGAAATAGGAACTCCAAAAAGTGAATAAGATCTTGAGGTGGGACCCACCCACCCTTATAAAATGCTTTCACTTCTTTCACACAAGGGCTGACGGCGGCTCACCGGCGGATAAACCGCTGCAGTTATTTTTCTGTCTACTCTATATACAAAATTATTTATAATTGTATTGTTGCACATAGTACGTGTACATTTAAATTAAATATAGGGATAATGATTGATAAGATAAAATATTTTTTGAAATGTAAATATTTAGTTTTTATTTTTTTTTTTTAAATGAATCCTTATACTTTATTAATATGTACACATTAGGTTATTTTCACCGGATTCTATAGATTTTGCTGATATGGAAATGTTTGTTTTACAAAAAAAAAATAATGATTAAATGTGTACATTTCAAAAAGTATCTTACCCTATCAAGTCATTTTCCCTTTCTTTTATTTTGTTGAAATGAAATACTCAGGTGGCATCACATATCCACAACGAGATTTTTCCAACTTTTATTCATCATGAAAAAGAGGGAGAACCCCGATCTCCGACGACTCCTTTGTGTGTTCCTACACATCACTGGTAGCAAGGAGGAATGATAGCAACAACAACAAGGTCGAAGGAGGAGGCAGGAGGAAGTAGAGACGGTAGTTGGCTGCGAGGAACTGCTCTGGTAGCCCCTCGTCGATTCTTTCTTCTTTTCTGGTAACATATTTTAAAGATGGAGGCAAAGAGAGACAGATCGGAGAAACACAACAGGTAAAGGGAGTTTGGCTGTTGTTGTTCGACCGTAAGGAAGAGAGACGAGAAATAGAAGGGTCGCCGCCCTTTTCTTGTTGCTGGAGGATCACCCACCTCCGGTGACTAAGCTAATTAATTGCTATTTAGTGCCACTTGTGCTTTCACATCAGCAAAACTTGTAGAATTCGGTGAAAATGATCTAATATGTACATATGAATAAAGTATGAGGGTTTATTTTACAAAAAAAAATAATAAGGACTAAATGTGTACATTTCAAAAAGTATCTTATCATATCAAGTCATTTTCCCTAAAAAAAATTCGCATATGATCGGTATACAGGGTATAACCGGTCACAAAGACTGCATTGTTACAAAAAATAAAGTATAAAGGTTTATTTTACAAGAAAAAAAGAACTAAAATATGATATTAAAACAAAGACAAATACGTAATTACCGTTAAACAACTAAAAAATGATATTAAAACGATAATTATCCTTTTTAGTTTTTACCATGTTATAAAATAGAGTTATTCATTAAAAATCAGGTTATAACTCGTGGAAACCACGATCAGTATATTTAAAATTTTATATAGATAAAAAATAAAAAAATATCAAAAAAAAACCCAAGATTATCGATTGTAAGTAATTATGAATTAATTTATTAAGCAAAATAAATATAATAATTTTATTAGGATATGATTGTGTATTTTCAAAATTTGAGTTGAATTTAATTTGTTACCAAAAAAAATGAAATAATAAAAATCATACAAAAATGTTCCGTATCAAAAAAGCATTCTAAAAAACTAACACATGTCATTTTTAGGTTTCATTTATTAGAAGAGGTAAATTAAAACGTCATATTTTGAGATAGCAAATCCCAATTGAGATACCTTTTCCAAACTTTAAGCAAATGAAACCAATACTACGAAATCATGGGTAAATTTACTTGTTATGGGAATATCATTTAACCATGCATACATATAATCATATTTTTGTATCGCTAAATCATCGTGATAAGCCTAATTCAATCTGAAATAGGATAGTTGTGGAAGTTATGGTTTCAATAAAGACACATTGGAAGATACACTTATTTCTCATAATCTTCTTTTTAAAATCAATTTAGGGTTTGAAAGATTCTCCAAATCCAAAAAAAATTAGAATGTTAATAATGTTTTAATGATGTTTCTTATGAGTTTTAGTTACTAGATTTCTAGCATACTTTCATTATTCTCATTCATTGCTTAATTTGGAGTTTAAAAGGTTTTTGGAAGCTTCATACCTTTAACAATGATGGAATGCGATTTGAACTTGATTTCAAAACATCAATGGTGATCCTAATATTACTTCATGTTTCTAAACTAGTTTCAAGCTAAGGAACCACCAATTGTTAGAAAGCGCACTTATGTATATGATTTGGGGACTTTACTTTTATAAGAATAACCACACCAATAATTGTGTGTTGTGTATATTTATAATAACATGGTACAACTACATCTCCTATAATAATGGAGAAATAAATACAATAATACATTTGAATATATAAAGCTAAGTTATTATTTAATATCCCCCCTCAAGCGAATGGGTGGTGGACGAAGACGAAGCAATGCACGAAAATGTTCAAACTAGGCATGAGTAGAAACCAAATCGAAACCCAAAAAAACCGAAATAACCGCATAAACCGAAGCCGAATAACCAAAACCGAAACGAAAACTGATGGTGCGGTTTTTAATTTTGAAAAACTGAAAAATTGTAGTGTGGTTTCATTTTATATTTAATAACTGCACCAAATTAATCGAAATAACCCCAAACAACATAATTTAATATATTATTTAAATATTTATAATACATATATTTAATTAGTAAA